ATTTGAAGTTGAATTTCTCCACAGTGCCTGCAGATAGAGAGGTCAGAAATGGCTTGTTTCAGGGCCGGTGCACACCTAAGCGATTTATCGCGCGGTTTGAATAAAACGATATTGCGCAAAACACAGGTTTGCATTGCAGTCAATGGAGGCTGCTCATACCTTTGGGGTTTGTAGCGCGACCGAAATCGCCTGTCGTGCGAAAAGGTGCAGGAGCTATTTTTGGGCGGTTGTCTAGCGGTTTGGGTCCCATAGACATCTCTATGCATTGAAAAACGTGCGACAATCGTACGAAAACAGCTCCGCATCTGAATCGCCTAGGTGTGAACCTAGCCTTAAAACTTGTTTACTACTTATTAAGAATATGTAAATAATTATTAAAAATTATAATTAATATTCTAAATATGTATTATAATTAATAATCTGGAGTGAAATTTGAAGTTGAATTTCTCCACAGTGCCTGCAGATAGAGAGGTCAGAAATGGCTTGTTTCAGGGCCGGTGCACACCTAAGCGATTTATCGCGCGGTTTGAATAAAACGATATTGCGCAAAACACAGGTTTGCATTGCAGTCAATGGAGGCTGCTCATACCTTTGGGGTTTGTAGCGCGACCGAAATCGCCTGTCGTGCGAAAAGGTGCAGGAGCTATTTTTGGGCGGTTGTCTAGCGGTTTGGGTCCCATAGACATCTCTATGCATTGAAAAACGTGCGACAATCGTACGAAAACAGCTCCGCATCTGAATCGCCTAGGTGTGAACCTAGCCTTAAAACTTGTTTACTACTTATTAAGAATATGTAAATAATTATTAAAAATTATAATTAATATTCTAAATATGTATTATAATTAATAGTCTGGACATGGGTGCACTTTAAAGTACTGTATATCTAAAGCCAAAACCTTTAGTTCTAGATGTAACGTGAAACAATTAGAACCTCTGTCACATTTTAATTGCTTTCTGTCTACCCGCTCTTGCAATTTACCCTCATTCTTTTTCTTTGTTACCATTGTCACTGGCATAGACACGGATGGGAAAAACAGCATTATAAATTTGCTACCTCTACAGGAGCAAAGATAAAATCTTCTGCTAGGGACACAGTGGGGAATGGTTAGAACCTCTGTCATGTTTTTATTGCTGTCTGATGTCTCTCTGAGGACCTTTTCCCTAATTTCTTGTTTCTGTGACAACACTGTCATCCAGACAGGAAGTGAGTTAAACTCTCCAATAGGGAAAAATGCCACAATAAAAAGCTAATGGAAGTCCTAGCCTTTTCTACAAAAAGGGTGTTTTATTGTTATCTGTCTTCCAATAGAGATTTTCTTTCACTCTCTCTATTGAGCTATTCTTTCTAACATGGCTGGAGAGAGAAGGAAACCTCAGATATTCTAACCCTTCCCAATCTACCAAAAACTAGAGTAAAGATACAGCAGTAATACAATCTTACTTGAAGTTTATATACCCAATACCATTAACAAATGTGCGCAAAATATCTAATAGAGGGGAAGATATATTGAAAAAAAGGAAAAGAGCTAAACTTTCAAATTGCTAGCAATGATTTGTGGGTGCATTTAGTCCACTAATAAAACCTTCCTGGTGTCACATCCAGCAGAACAGAACTTATCATTATGTGGACTTCCACTCACAGGGGCATGGCAGAGGTATTTCCAAACACTGGGATATATTACGGCAAAAACACTATGTAAGTAGAATTGTTAAGTAACCTAGTACTGTATATAAATAGGTTCTGGGTTGAAACGTTACGTTTTCATACCTCTGTGTACTTTTATCAGAATATGTAACTTTTTATTCACTGACCTCCACACCAGTATTTTCTGTGTTGACTGTCAAAATAAGGGGATCGAGGAAGATAATTAGTAGAGAAACAGTGTAGGTGTCACTGGAGACTGACATCTGATTTCCAGTCTGTGAGTATTCCACCAGGTATGCCAAGCTTTAATTACAACATATTGCTAAACAACTGAAAGAATACATATAAACTGCAGTAATATAATGCCCACAACAATATAACTGAAAACAAAACACAGAAAAATAATATAAAGAAAAATAGGGCTTATTTAAAAAAAAAAATCAAAAACAACTTGTTTGGTTTTAGATTTTATCAGAACAGGTATAACAATGAAAGCTGAATGTTTGATGGATATTCTGGATTAAAGTACTTTGCTTATTGACTATCCAGAGATTTATTCTGACAAAGAATATTTGTCCTCACTGTGTGAATAAATTGGCATTGGGCATTTTTGTTTTATACTCTGTAAACACTATTAGAATTAGATTATTTTGAAATTAATGGACTTGGTTCCTAGAAACATTTTAGGTTACATCTATGTTTCCATGCTGCATGACATTACTGCTTGCTGGAGAGCAGGAGATACTAGCTTATACTTTAAGCTCAATTGATTTCTCTCACCTTTTTTTTCTCTTTATAGTACTGTAACCCCAAATATTGTTTACATTGTAAAGCGCTGTGCAAACTGTTGGCGCTATATAAATACTATGTAATAATAATAATAATAATAATAATAATAATAATAATAATAATAATAATAATAATAATAATAATAATAATAATATTACGATGTGAAATTAATTTTATAATGTAATGCCTTAAAATATCCTTTTCACTCAGTGCAAATCCTGCTTCCTCACTGCAGTGCTCAGTGTTTGCAGAGCTGAGTAACAGCTACACCCCTCAGTGCAAGTGTTTTTTTTTTAAAAACTTGTAAAACAGAAAAGGGGATGTGTGTCTGATTGCCTGACCAGTTTTGTTTTTTTTGTAAATGTTTTACATATATAGGACACATCCTGTATGTTATAACACAAGCAGAACAATTACAATAACATTGCATTCAAGTCAACATACTGGGAAACATGTCTCAAATATAAGTAAGATGTCAGCTGTAAATGTCATCATCTTCATTGCAGTGATGCTTCTATGAATTATCTATAAGAAATACATCCCTGTGCATGATATAGTCTCTTCTGTGAGAGACAACAAGGAAAAAGAAAGAACGGGGGGAGGGGAGAAGGAGAGGTAACAGGAGTGGACAATGGACAATACAAAACATGGGATTCTTAATTTTTTTGTGGCCAAGGTCAGAGGCCTGCATTCCTGAGAATAAAATCCATCTAATAAAACCATGTGTGTCTGTATTTTTCATCTCTGTGATACAAAGTTTTTGTGATGTGTCAGGTAAACAAATACCAAACATGTCAAACCTTAAAATTGTGTGCGGCTGTAAAATGGCAAAAGAATTACCCCAAATGTACCCAAAATTTAAAAGCTTTTACTGCTAATCAGTTTAGCGTTAACTGTGAGTGATGGCCCTAAAACTATTGCTCTCAATCCAATGTTTGTGGCAATATGTAACGTGTGGCTCAATCATCGTTATCGCACGTAGACATACCCGATGCATGCTTGTGCATGTACATGGAGGAGGGCTTTAAAAAAAATTTTGTGTTTCTTTTAATTTTTATATGTCACTTTAATCTTTTAAACTTTTTTTACATATAACTTTATTGCTATCACATAGCAATGAAGTTTAATTTGTTTCTGGAGTTTATGGATCCCACAGATGCTGATGAGGCACAGATCATGCTTCACCAGCTTCTCATGCCACCTGGAGAAATGACAGTCTGAAACCGCAAGTGACTACATCCCCATCTCCTCTGGATTCAACAACTTAAGTGTGCTGATCTACTTCTGGCCAAGCTGCACACCCGCTGTGCCAGTCTCAGGCCTGCTGGAGGGACAACGGAGCCCGGGATAGCTGGCAGCAGAGGCGGGCTGATTGGGCAGCTCTACATCCATACAATTAGTTCTATATGAAAGCCAAGTGCTGGCTGAAAACAGAGATACTGCTGCAGTCACTGTGATCTTAGTTTTAATCACTTTAGGACCATGACATTTGTATACATATTGCAATCCTGCAGTGGTTAATATCTGTGGTTAGTAACAAACTGGCAGATAGGAGTCTGGTTTAGAAGGATCATTATGAGGCTTAGGGATGACTTCAATAATAGCTTAATAAACAGAAGCATAGAGGGCACTCAATACAAATGCTTCCTCTAGTGTGTGCAAGATTTGTGGAAGGAGTTGTAGTATATTTTTATAGACTTCTGCTGGGAATTCATCAACACCTAGAGCCTTTTTTGTGCGTAAAGAATTAAGGGCTTCAGTAAGCTCATGAAGTGTTAATTCAGAGTCCAAGAGGTAAGGAGTGTCTATGAAGCAGTGAGTGGTATTGCGAGTTTTGAAAGCAGAAAGATTTTGATAACCATGTCACTGTTAGAGGATACAGCAGTGCCATCACCAGTAGATAAATGCACCATATAATTAGAACCATTCTGTAAGGCAGCCAGTATGGTCGGAATGTAGCCTATTAGGTCTCCCTCTTCAAAATATTGTGGCTTAACAAAAGTACGTATTTCTTGCCTGACAAGGTAGGTATCCTTCAATAGGTCTTGGGCCTCCAGACATATAGATTGCATAGTGGAGCTAGAATTTGTCATCTATTCCCTTTCCACCTTTTCTACAGATGTCATCAACTTCGGTTCCCACTGAAATGAGAACCATTTAATTTTACCACTCTCTTAAGAAGGACCCTGAGGACCCATATTGTAATACAGCGGGTTAAACCCTTTTTACGCTAAAAAAGCACAGTTAATTGGTTAAGGATGTCATTGTCCGATGACAAAGCCAAAAAAGATTGAGCTTCCACATAGTTCCCCCAAACGAGCCTCCCGAGCACTCCCACCAAGAGTGTGGCATGGTCAGAAAAAGTTCAATTGTACATTGATAAACTGTGACAAGGAAGGCCTTATTGCCCAATGCTAAATCCATCAGAAAGTGTTCCATGTGAGCAAAGAGCAGCAGTTGTATTGTAACTGCTGGGTGCTGGGAATGCCAGATATCTACCAGGCCAGTTCTCTCAACAGTATCACCAGTGGACAGTCAGTAGAATTTGAAGCAGTTCCAACTCGACCTTTAGCTAAGTTTATTTAGTTGTTGAAGCCCCCAAGGACAATTGTAAGTAAGTCCATGTATTCACTCCATAATTGTACAAAGTGTTTAGGTACCTCTGCTGAATATATAGAAGGGTAATACAGCTAAAAAAAAAATTGTACTAACAGTACAGTGCAAGAAAATGTTTCTTCTATTTTAGTGTTCAAGCAGGTGAGTGGTATATTCTTTTGTAGTAAAGATAATAACTCCTCTAGAATACGAGGTATGCCAGAAATGAAGAGAACATTTATATTGTGATTTAGGAAGATTATTTTGTCTTTCATAAAAATGTTTCTACTGCAGGTTGCTGCCTGATAGTTAGCCAAAACCCAAAATATGGATTTCCTCTTTATTGGTTTGTGAGGACCTCTTCTGGTCCAGTAGAGGAATCTGAGTTGTTGATGTTTAACCATTGAAGCCCCAGTTCCATATCTTGCTCAGACATAAATTCTTGACCGCATAGTCATGGATATAAGTACGCTACAGAAACAGTGAAACAAAAAAAGAACAACAAAGCAAAACTGGTAGAAGATGAGACCTCAACCATTCTTATCAACTTGGAGGAATCACGCTCAATTGCCAATGGGAGGAAAAGTGCAGTCTGATGTACCATGCAGTACAATTTGCCAGTGCTGTTTGAGAGGGTGAGGTACCACCACTGTGTGGAAAATAAGAGAGGTAGATGCATACTGGAGTTCTATCTAGGGCATATCATATGGTCAGTTTGTGTCAATCCTGCCAAAATGAGGCAGAAGGAGCAAAATCAAATAAATTGTTTTACCCTTAGTGATCACCCTGAGTTTAGAGGGGTATAGTATTGAAAAGGCATTATGCAAATTTCTCAATCTGCATTTAGCATCCAGGAACATGGCTATATGCTTTGGACCTCAGAGGAAAAGGCAGAGAAAATTGAATATTTTGAGTTGTTAACAGTGAGGATGATCTCTAGCCAATCTCTGGATGATAAAGGTATCTCAATAGTTTAGAAGTTTAGTTAAAAAGGAAGTGGGAAGATTCCTGGTGGAATTGGTTGAATTAGCAGTCTGTGGGCTCTTTCCAACTCCAACTGTGCTCAGTGATGTTCACTACCAGACATATTGCATATCCAAGTCCTCTTTAAGACTCTGTATCTGTGTTGAGAGCATAGGAATGGACAAATCGCTGTATTAACTGCCCAAAGGACTGCTACTCAGATTCTCTAACACAAGGTCATATTTTATTTAAATATAATTGAAATTATATTTTAATAAAATATATCACACTCAAAGAAATAAAACCTAAAACATTAAAACACAGCTCTAAAACACTAAACCCCAAACAGAAAACACTAAGCACCAAACCCTATATCTTTAAAAAAAAAACTAATTGACAGCAAAACAAAATTTTAATATAGGCGCTAAATGAAAAATAGAAACCCAAATAAAACACCAAAAATAAATAAATAAAACCTGTAGGGGGTGGGGGCAAAGTGGGTATGGAACCCTAACTGCAAGTCACATTTATGTATCACAATGGAGCAAAGTGAACAAAAGTGGGGGGAAGGTGGGTTCAGACTATGTGGCTAACCACACTGCAATTCACTGTAATAATGTAGCACAATACAAATACTTGTCAGCACTTCAAAGAATAAGTACCACAATGAAAATCACAATGAAACTATATTTTACAAAAATTTAAAATATCCTGAAAAAAATCTCAGTAGCAGAGTGCAATGTGCCAAATCCTCTCCCAAATTTAATGATCCCTTTTCCGTAAATATTCTATATAAAATAATTTGTTCTTTGTGGCATAGCACTTATTTATGTAAATTGTTATACAGGTAATGTAACATAAATCTAACATTAAATGTTTAGCATTTTCTTTTTAGTTATAAGCTTTTAATCTCTACTAACTGAGTGCTGTATGACATGGCAAAACTATCTTATCTCTTTCATCCGTTTACCTTTTCATGAACTGCTTGTTAGGTAGAGATAGTTTTGCATAATGAAATGTGTGCATACAGTTTATAGCTAAAAAAACAGACTACTGAGAGTGAAAACAAACAATTCTAGAGTCAAGTGTCAGTAAATGAATGAAGTTTAGCAAGACCTGTGTCATGAATTGATCAGAGATCAAATTGTTTGTTGCATCAAAGAAAATACTTTCAAAGAATGAGTTGGTATGGCTCAAACCTGAAATATAAATCTCTAAATTATTATAAGCAATTACATTTAAAAAAGGAAGTTAGAAAATTACATTGTATAGATATCAAATTTTAAGCAATGCTACATACAAAATATTGAAAATCCCAAGATTTATCCTGCAGTCTTTTTTTTGTTATCACTAGATGTCCTCAGTCTTATGGCCAGTATAATTAAATGCACTTTAACTGAGCCTAGGGCATCCTGGGCCCACTCCAGCCTCTGGGCTGTGAAATGAGAAACAATCTCTCAGTCATTCTGCTTTCACTACCTAATCCTTATTCTTTTTTTGCATTTAGCTGAGCGCTCTTATTTCTACACTTCAGGTTCTCTGCCAACATGGGGTCATAGCTGAAATACAGACAGATACAAAATTGCAACTGAATCTATTTATTTATTTATTTAATTTAGTGCATGTTTTAAATAAAGATGCTATAAGTACTTGATTTTGGTTTATATGTTATCTTTCCATAATACATTCATAGCAGTCTGTTTTAGTATTGCTTCACCACAGTACTTAACAACAGAAACAGACCCTCTGATTCCTTTTGACCACTTAATCAAATAAGTAGGTCAACAAGTGCTGTTGTAATATCTAAACTGATGTCCGTCCTCCTCAGACTCTCCCCACACACCCCATCAGCATATTTGAGCAGGGCAGCCATCAGAAATTTTGGGGCCCTTACACAACTTTAGGCCCGGGCCCCTTTACCAACACTCCACAGGCCTGTCCACTGGCTGTCCCATCGAGTCCGCCCACTGCACTTACTTTTATTTGAACACTATTACAACTTACTATATGAAGTTGAAATGTGTATTCCAAGTCATTCCAAGCGCATTCAATATATGAGAGTAAGGAAAAATATTTTGGCCAGTAATTATAAAGCCTGCCACCATGACAAGGTAAACAACAAGCCAAATAACAAAAACAAATAACCGTAACTGGAATTAAGTTCCTTAAATATGATCCGATTAATAAAAAACAATATGTATCTGCACACTGGGCCCTCAGCAGCACAACACTGAGAATGTTGCCAGTATGATCGCCTTAAAAGATAAAAAATAATTCTTTAGACCCACTACTTTAGAATGAGCCTCAATTGAAAGTCTTTTGGATGAAATTACTTTATCTAATGCTTCAATGATGCCTGGAAGCTTTAAAGCAACTGGACGAATGGCTTCTACCCTAGCACTCCACCTGGTGTCTCTCAAGGCATGCAGTGAACTTCCATTTTCATCCTTTAGAATTTTCCACTTTCTGGATTTCCACTAAACAGTACATATGGACGATTGACACATCCAAAAAACGTGATCACATCAGAGCAGCAAGATGCGACATGTACGCCAAAGAAAGGGAAGCACAAGGCGAAACCCAGCTTTTGGATACATCTTTTGTATGGGAGCTCTAACTCCTTTGTTCTTTCCAGACATATTTGCACCATTATCAAATCATTGACCTCTGCAATCATTAAGATTAATTCCATGCTCTGATGGTCTCAATAACAGCTTTTCTGTAATCTCTTCACCCGTCTTTTTGGTAAAATCAAAAAATTCCATAATACTGTATATTTATAAACTCATTTTGGGTTGCCCATGATAGATAATGAGCATGATGTTTTCTTCCACTCTCTTGGCTTCTCTTCACTTTTTCTGGATGTTCTTGTAGCAGTGCATTATAATTTGCTATCATTTCTAGTTCACCAAGACAAATTTCAATTGTGCAAGTCTCCAATTCTTTGAGAGCTTCCCCAAAAGGCTAGATTTCTTGCTGCGATAAATAAAGTAGCATCCAGACATTTCTAACAAAGCAGCACATTTTTGGGTTTCACCATCCAAACTCTTTTGCAATTGGGAGTTCAAACCATGGCCTCCAATGAACATTTCAAGCTTCCTCCAACTCCAATAGCATTGCTTGTGATTAATGGAATTTTCATCTTCTGGCAAATGACTGTATAGAAAATGCCACTATTTTTTCATGGATTAAATCCGTCTTTCCGACAAAGAAAACAAGTAGATTTGCCGCAGTCAAATAAGAATGCAAGGCATGTCACACAGTACAAAACATGCTCGCTGGTACTCCACCAGCCAATCCTGCAGAATTTTCTCCATTTGACGATTTTGCATATAAAAAAAAATTCACTGATTGATCGTTGTTCACAATCCTTTTATAATACCTTTTATCATTTACTTTAGTTGTTCTTGTTTATCTAAGCCACAACTCATAATCCTTTCTCTGTCTTTGTCTGTCAGCACATCCGGCTAAACTGCTGGATCCTTCCAATCAAGTTCTATCTCTATATTTTACACAATGCTAAAAATGTGCCCAGACTGCGTTTCACCTTCTTCTTGTGGATATTTAGCAAGAACTTCTGGATCAGTGACAAAAGATGTGCTGCAGGAAGCAGTATCTTTTGGTTCAACATGAACTTCTTCCTCAGAATACTCAATATATTCTGCAGTGGCTTCCTCTGTATATTTTTGCTTCTTGAAATACTTAAATGACAAAATGTTCTTTCTCAGTTTTTCTTCTTCCTGTTCTAATTCTCTCTCTTCTCCTTCCACTTCTGTGCACCAGACTTATGTAGATACATTGCAAAAATGTGAATTTAATAATGCACCGAACTATGATTGGAGTGATATACCGGAAATGTTTAAAAGACCCTTTCATTTAACTTAAGTGTCCTACCTAATGCACAAGTGGGCAAATACTGTGAAATTAAATGTAATCAGTCAGAGAAAATGCAAACTTTAAAACACATGTTAGGACACACTTATAAAATAAAAATGTACAAAAATGCAAATACTA